TTCCTTCATTTTTGCTTCCTGGCTTTTATCGGCTGAAATTTAATATGATTCAGAGTAAAGGTCAAAGCAAAAGTAAGGATTTTGTAATTGGTTGTGTGGTGGAGGTTGAAATAAAATAAATACTTTGGTACATACTGTGTGTAATACATCTTTATCGTGTTTTATTTTGTCAGTTATTAACACGGGAATATCGGACATGAGTGTGGACATATGAAGCCTCTTGATTAAAAATACATTCGCACCATCAATTAACCAAATCATAATATTCAATTAATATATATGCGCCACATACTATAATCTAGAGATGTTCGACTGGAAAGAAAGCTACGTTTTGTTTAAAACAAATACAATTTGTTTCATTTTCCATGAGGCTGACTACTATCATATGCTGATTGGGAATATCAATTAAAATTAGATTAGCACCGCATTTTGTTTCTAATGAGAAATAACATTTGAAACGTCATTTGGATTTTGTAATCGGAATGAAAGTGTTCATACATTGTATAAACGGCCTTAACATAATTTTATTATGTTCGATCTGCGATCTGCCAGTTGCGAAAGCCGTGAGTATAGTTTAGTACATCAACAAATAACATCTTCTTTATGTTCATTCAATAAAGTCTAGCGTAATTGTCCAATCTGGCGGGTGCAAATACAACCCAAAGTACTTCGATAACTTCACCATGAGCATCGTTAACAACACGGTCAACCTCGATATGATCACCAAAAAGACTTTTGACCGTGGCTTCAATGTACACGTCGACTTTTCGATCAGTTTGAGCAAAAGCAGACAATATCAACGCGTCTTTGCCCACACAATGGACACTTGTGGGGTTGCTTCTACGGTAAAAAGAAACATATTCAAGGCCTGGTTCCAGAGCATGTTGGATCGTAGCAACTTCGTGCACAACTGCCCAGTGCCCGAGGGCCATTATTTTCTGCGCAATTGGAAGGTGGATCCACAACTGGTGCCTCAGGTTTTGTACGCGGGCGACTATCGTGTCACTTTTTACTTTTTCTATGGAAAACTCAAGTCAAAGCAGGAAGAATTCGTAATAGACTTGACTGCTTATGCAAAATTAAAAACGAATTAATTTGTTGTTAACTATTATTCTTACTATTACAAATCTTGTAGACAAGCAAAGCAAATTGGTAAGGCCCAATGTAATAATTATGCAGCAGATACTAGAAACGTTTGAAGCCTATTTTACTTCATATTAAACATCATTCTCTTGGCTGTGCTAATAACTTGCCAGCACTTATCCTAACTCTCCAACATACGATGTATTACACGCTTGTTTCCGAACTATACTATACTAAACGATGAGTTAGGATAAGACAACTGTGTTTGGTATAGAGTCATTTTTCACAGCAAGAAAGATCTTAAACCCAGAACGAGCATCTCAAAAGTTTCTGGCTAATCCGTACTACTATAAAAATAAAATTTTTTTTGCGAAACTGGATTTTTTATGCCAAACACAATTTTCAACCAATTCCTTTGGAGGATAATGATAAAGTAATCCGATAATACTGACATTCTGCACAGCTCAAGACTGAGACTAGTAAGCATAGAAGCCCAGAGACAGCAAGAGCTAGGGCACGATTTCCTTCCAAAAAAAAACTATTTAGCAAACTAGCTTTAAGCCATGATTCTACAGAAAGTTTTGATTAAAAGTTGGAATGCTCGGTTAGATTTCAAGTATGCAGAATATGTTTCTTTGGGATTATGTTCCTTAGGATATGTTTCACCTAAGAAAAATGGTGTTATGCTGTAAATCTGCAGAAGGTCAATCAGTTTAAAAAGTGAAATAAAATTTGGATTATGACTTCACCTCACATGCCGGCCATTAGCGAGCGGAGCTCATCACAATTCAGTGACAAGAACAAGTGCATCGATGATCGCTTCATAACGAGCTGATGCTAAGATAAGCGTTTCGGTAGAGAGCTGAATAAATGATTAGTTGAAGCATTGAAGCCGCGTGTGTCTAATTGATTTTTGGGTTATTTAAACAGATGAGTGGATATATTGAATAATTTACCAATTGTTCGTATTATTAGAAATTGGTCGCTGTACGTGTCAAAATGCTACCGTCGCGCTTTTATTGTTGTTTAGCATTGTTAATAATTGGCTTGGTGATATGTGTAAATGTTTATCCTAGTCAAGCGGTAAGTCTCGCATAGCCACTATTTGGAGATACTAAAAATTTTAAAATTTCTGCAGGAACGTCATGTCGAGTTTCTGGCCAGCAACTATACTTTCAATACGAAATATTTCAAGAACTTCACCGTTACTATTGCGAATAAAACCCTTAACATGGATATGGAATTAGCCAGGCCTATTCAGCGAGGCTTCAAGGCCCACGTTGACTACCAACTGCGAATGGCCAACGCGAAGAACTTTCAAACTATATTTAGCCATCATTTTGATGTATGTGCCACAGTGAGTAATGTCAAGGATGGACTGCTTAAGAGCTGGTTCAAGAGCATGCTGGAGAACGGCAACTTCATGCACAACTGCCCGGTGGAGGTGGGCTACTACTATCTACACAATTGGAAATTGGGCTCCACTATGACGCACCAGTTTCTATATCCTGGCGAGTACCGTGGCAAGCTCTATTTATTTTATGGGAAGTACAAAACCAAAACAGAAGATCGAGTGATCACCCTCACGATTGATTCTATACTGTACAACTGAGCGAGTGAACTAAATAAATCAAAAGATGGCTTTAACAGACGCTTCTGCTATCGCAATCATTACAGGTCGCACATTATTATTATCCATCCAAGTCCCGGCGTCGTTGCAGCCAGGAGCCTCACGAGAAATAATAATAATATCCTGTACAAGGCTGCAACATGTGGCACGCAACGTTGTTGATTATCGATGGAGAAAAATGGAACAAAAAATCGAAAATAAAACATTCAATTTAGCTACAATGTCCTCGATGTCATCATCGTCCTCGTCTGCTACGCTTGGCAGCTGTCGCACACAGCAAAAGGAGCTGCCGGTAACGGCTTCTTTAACTCCATTTTACTTCTCGTCGTAGCTGCTTCCGCCTCCTCTCGATAGCGTGTATACTTTTTACTTTATCGCTTCCTAATTGCCGCCCACCTGCACTTGTCACTGGCTCACCAGGCGGTCCGGCCTGGCATAATTTTCACAGAATTTTCCAGCGATTCGCCTAAGGCTCACAAACAGAGCTGCTTGTGAGTGTGTGAGAGAGACGGCTTGCCATGATTCCCGCTGGTATAATTATGTATAGCGTGTATGTAATGATGGCTCCTCCTTAACGCCCTGCGTCTGATATCGCCTGCGGCCATCTCAGCTGCCCGCTTGACTAGTGCTAATCAGTGATTCAGGTAAGCTTTGTTTAATTAGTTCAAAGCCTGCTGCGGCATCTAATTGGGCTGTTTCAGTTCAAGCGGCATGAATCAAAATTTGCCTAATGCTCCATTTATTGCAGAGAGAGAGAGAGAGCGAAGGAGAGAACGTGAAATTGTATTCTGCTTGGGCAGCTCAGGTAATGACTTCCTACAAATACAGCAGGGTGTAAGTTAAACAATTTAAATAGTGAAAATTCTACTACTGCAATATCCAAGATATGCTCTATAAACCGAAATTGTATGCCAATATTTACACAGGGAACAAATGAAAACTCTTCCTGATCAATCATATATAACTTCAAGCTATATTGAATGCTACCTTTGAACAACTTTATCCCACTCATTGGATAAAAGGTATTAAGGCCGCGACAACCTCTGCTTGATAGTACGGTTAACATTTACTTAGTTAGGACATAAGAAATCAACGCAAAAGCGTTTCACACTGTAAATCAATTTCACGCCAAACAAACGCTAAACGTTATTTAACACAAAGCACGACAACAATAATGATGGCAATTTCCTTGAGTACCCCCGTTTGCCACACCCAATATTATTTGTCTCAAAGATGTTCCCGAAAGCCCTGCAGTGCATGGGATCGGGACTTTCTCAATAGCAGTGCTCGACGCTTCCTACATTTGTCGATGGCGACAAATACAAGAAATTACGCTTTGATTTTGCCTTGATTTCAGCGGAAGTGCAATGATAGCAAAATGAAAGCAGGGGAAATGAAAGCACAGAAAAGGAAAAGAAGCCACTGAAAACGTTGCGTACTTGCCAGCGCGTGCGAACGTGTCGAGTGCGGGTCCAGGATGCCGCATGGCGAGTCGGGTGGATGGTCGGTTGCAGTGTGCAGAATGCACCAGTCGTGAGCCGGGTAAACTTGGCGAGTTGTTAAGGGAAATACTTTGGCCAACTGTTATTGTCAGTGTTTAAATTATTTTGCGCTTAGTTTGCCACTCGCATAAATCGCAGCCAACAGCAGCAGTGGCAACAACTGCTGCACTTGTCCGCCATTCAATTGCGTGTCCATGTCCTTGTCCATGTCCATGTCCGTGCCCGTACCCCTGTCCGTGTCCGCGTCCGTGTCCCCGTTAGTGTCTGTTTCCGTATTCTTATCCATATCCTTGTCCAGCAACAAAAAGCGCGCGTGTCGCGTGCGGAACAAATCCAACCAGAGCCAGGTTGAGGCTCATTAATTTATTTATGCGAAGTGCACGTGCAACGATTTGCTCAATCGGAAGTGAAAAATTGTGTTAGCGATCAGATTGAAGCGATAGCCGTGGGGCCATAAAGAATTCATGGGGCTTAAATGTGCCAAATTAGGCAGCCAACATGCGTTTATGTTCAATATTGTCTAAACCAATTGGACTATAAAGTCTTGCAATTTTTTATTCAAAGTATACAAATAAAATAATCCGTTCGTGTGTGAATTGATTTGCTTCAATAACATTTGAGTAAGTTTTGGAAGTGGGGAGCTGCAGTTTTCAGGTGCCATAGTAGGACAATAAATCCAAGCTCCCTACACTGGAAGAGAAAGCCGACTAAATCATGATCCTCTTTACGTCGGTAACAAAAATTAGATTTATTACCAAATTTATTTTCATATAAAAAGCCAACGTATTGCTACTTCATTTTAATGTCCACAAACATTGAGGTATTCGTAAGCATACCGTTGCCCCAGTCCCGCAAATAAAATAAGGAATCAATGCGAAAATGACCGGTCATTATGAAAGCGGGAATGCTGTCTTTATCGGGTCGCAGGTTCTTCCAGTAATAGTTACCCTAACGAAACTTAATTAGCAATAATTCAGATTAAGAAATTTCCAACTTACCTCTTGAATCGGACAGCTGCGAGGCATATTTGTATACCTGTAGATGTTCTGCACCCAACTATGGAAGACGTTGATGCCTTTGCCTTTGCCAAGCAAATTGCACAGGTTCATATTGTAGGAAAATATCGTTCGATAAGTATTTTTCGTTTCACGCTGCGCGATGCTCACTTTCAGCCAAAGATCAACAGTTAGGTTTCGAATTATATCCAATGTCATGTTAATTGCCATGTGATCTGGACTAATGCGTGCCGCATAATTTGAGGCATATTTGCGACCAAAGTTAGTGAAAACCTTGCGAAAGTGCAGCGAATTAAACGCCTGGGGGGGTATAAGAAAGAAAATAAATAGTTAGAAACTAAACTTAATACAATTTACCTTACGACCAACGGCTAATTGCGTAGCATAGAATATCAAAACTATAACTAAAATAACTCTAGCTTCACGAGGCATATTTTAGCTCCAAACGAGTTCTGTTTCGCCAGAATGTCATAAGGTATTTGATGACAACCCAATAAAATTCAACCGAACAATAGATCTTATAATTATATTATAATGTCATAAATCATTAGCCCATACACTATACAATAATGAATGGTCAACTGGCAGATGCTCTGTAAAAACTTTTATTTACTTGCATATACCTATTTACATAAACAAACGTGAGATCATAGGTTAGAAAGTAATACCTAAGCCGGTAATCAAAAAAATTGAATTATTTTACCACATATATAGTATACTATAATATTGTAACTTAAAAATTAAAAATTGTTCCTCTGAGATCTCTCCGTGTGCTCTGAAATATATTTGCCCCGGATCTCTCCGTTCACAGCTAAGTATATTTGCACAGAATAAAAATCCCTTTATATTTGAATATTTTTTTAACGCATGCTTAACTTATTGTCGCTTTTTAAAACACTTTAAAAAGTCAACAATTATTACTTCTTATTCATTATTGCTTTCACAACTTTTCGAGCGTAAAAAATACAAATGAAATTGAGCAAACAATTGCACATTTATTCGCTGCATAAATGGCGTGAACATTTTTAATAGCCGTAAAATTACAGCAGAAATTTATGATGGCAAAATAAAATTGAAAATGCTTTCAGAATGCAAAACGGCAGTAGAATAGAACAGAATATCGTTAATTAGGTATTGCAGCACAGAAAAGCTTGATCAACTTTTTGGTTTACTCGAATTTGGATGATTTATTGGGAGGGAGCAAATAAAATTTAGCATAGTTTGACACATTGCGATAAGAGGAGCAGGACAGCAAATCGGAGAGGAGCAGAAAATGAAACTGTCAAAACCAAGTAAAATTCATTGACAGCTGCAATTTGGAAAAGTTTTTTTTTGTTTGCCAGAGAGTGAAAAATGGGGAATGAAGATGGCTGTGCAGTGCCTTGATCGTATCGTGCGGCAATTAGCATTTTGTGGCAATGTTGCACAATAATTTAACGAGCCAGCCAGAGCAGCGCAGCGGGAGCCTTTAGGACGAAGCCACAAAAAAGATGCCTGCAATTGTGCGAAGGACGGCAAGACGATGAGCAAAAAAAAAAAAAAACGGAGAAAAAAATTATTTGATTATCCTGCGGCCATGCGCTGTCACAATTTCGCAGACTGCCCGCCGAGCGTGTCCGGGGTCCGCTTCGTTCTGCAGCTCAGGTCCCACAGTTCCAGCTCGTCCTGTCCTAGCAGCAGCACGAAAACTGCCACATCAGCAAAAGTCTGTTAACTTCCGGTTTATGGTTGCAGCAGCTTATGGAGTCATTTCCGCTGGCTCGTCTTGCCCATTCATTCGGCTCAGCCAACCAGCTGGCGGTGCCCGCAGACCATTCTATTAAATCATCATTTCATTTTGTACTCGCTTCATTTTTTTTGTTCTTTTTTTTCGTGCTTCCATTTTCCCCTTGCAACTCGGTAGCAGGACAGCGCACTGCGCTTGCGGTAATTTTTTTTTCAAGTGCTTCCTTAGATTTATAATTAAGATTTGGTTAGCAGCAATAGCGGCTCTTTTTGAATTTATGTGCCGGCAAATGTTGCCTGACTGCGGCGGCAGCGGCTGCGTCTGTCCTGGTTGCCCGGCTACTGCAGGCGCCTCTAAAAACGGCACTTTATCATATTTCTATCGCCCGGCTCCTCCGAGCTGCAGCTAGAGTGAGAAAACTACAAGGTAAACTTTACCGGAGCAATTTAATTACGCTGATAGGTACTTACCTGTGAAGAGCGAAAAGATATGACTATAAAAGCAACATTATTATTAGACCGGTGCATTTTACCCTTCCATTCAATTTTCACTTCACATACCTTGTCCTCATATGAATGGATAATAATGTCTATATACCTGTCCGTAAATAAGGACGTGCAGATCTTAGATACATAACATATCAAAAAAACAAGAGCGAGGCTATATTCGAGGTGACAAAGATTAAATACCCCTAGGACCATTTTCTCAATGTCGTGTTAAGTTTCATCTTACAATCAATCCAAGCTTAGCATAGTTGAAATTCACAATATCTGATTTTCTCTCAAGAGTTCGCTAATGAGTTGTTTTTATGAAAATATCATTTTCTACCGACTTTTCAGGTAGATCCTGATTATAACAAAAATGTTTTTTATAAAAGAAACTTTATTTTCAGCCAATCATACGGAGGGATGAAAAAAATGTAATACCCTATTCAAACGTATGAAAAGACATCCACAAGCAAAATTGTCATAAGCTTTGCATTCAGCTTAAGAGTAGACAAATGTTGCTCTTAAATAACATCAATGTTCATAGCCCGATTGCTGGACTATACTTCCAAAATTGTTTAGTTTTGTGAACGGCACGGGGTGGTATTTAAAATACATGATACCTTGGGTAGAATCTACATACAATTTAGTATATTTAGCCCGTTTAATCCCCCATATCTTATCAAAGAACTGTTTGAAAAAAATCGATATCTTTCGGTATTTGTCAAACTAGGGATGATCTGATAAACAAATTAAATAGCGCGAGGATCTACATTTCCAATTTAAAGTCTTTAGCTCTGCTTTGTTAAAGACTCTTGGATCTGTGCGTTTATGCAGAAGGACGATGGACTGGTAGACTTGCGACTAGATCGATTAGGCTCTTCGTTCATATCAAAAACATTATTACTTTATGGAGTCATAAGTAATAATGTCTGTCACATACATTTATAACCCAATAACATCTAGAATGTTGCAGTCATTCTCCAAGAACCTTGTAGATTGATCGACTCATCTGTTAAAATAAAACTTTGGTCAGAGTGAGACTATTTTAACCTGTTGAAATCATCTTAAAGACAACTAAGACGTTATTTAAAAGGAAATACACTTGAAATACCGGTCGTATTTCCATTTCTAGTTTGGGAAATAAAAAGCAGTTAATTCTACAACTCAGAGACTCCCACACCAAATGCCTCTTTGCTGACAGTTTTGTCTCACTCCTTGTTACCAACTGTCGCTCAGCAAGTTAATGAGGAACAACAGCAGCATCGCCTTTACGTGAAGCTGCAGAAAAGTTTTGCTCAAGTGGCATTTTTCCATTTTCCACATACAGGCGTTCGCGTTTTAACTCGAAGCGGCAGCTGCTGTTGGAATAACGACGATGATTTCGTTGATTTGAATTGTGATTAAAATGCAGTGTATAATTTTTTGGCACGCCTTGCCAGTCTGAGACAGCCAGAATGTGCGGCCCAAAAAGTTTTTGCCTCGTTTCACACTTTGTCAGACTGTGCTAAAATGCAGGACCGGGAGCGAGAGTGGGATCGGGATAAAATGCGGCAAGGGAAGCCAAAGAAAAATTGCAAACCGCAACTCGTGTCGACTTGCCGCTCCAGCTCGACTTGATGTTAGAATAATGAAGAGGCAAAACTTTTGCGCTAGGCATGTAATTTTTCGATGTGACAGCCGGCGAGCAGAGACCACCAACATCCCAACCACCCCACGTACCGGAAACGGTAGTTGTCATTCGTTTTCTGCATTTGTTACAAAGTTACATTAAAAAAAAAAAAGAAGAAGAGAGGTAAAAAGAGAGAGAAACACACCCACAACTGCATAAAAACTTCTGTTGTGCAAGATCTGAAGCGACTCGTGCATTCTTATTATTCGCTCCTTTTTACTAACTTCCAGTTAGGCCTAACACTTGCAACGCTTGCAATATGAGCGCCAGGCCTGGCCTCAGTTCCAGTATTCCCCACATCAGCTCATAAATCACGGCCGGCCCAAGCCTAGGCCGCGTTATAAATGCGAACAATGACACAATTGATTGGCCAATTACGTGCGCTTCGGGGTGATTATGACGTTACGTACCGTTAGCCAGCCCACTCGTTTGCCGTTGCCCTGCAACTGAATGTGAACCTGAACCGGGCGACAAAGTGGGCTGGGGCCTGGAGCTGGCCATGGGGGTGACCAGACGGCGTTCATGTCATGCCTGGCTAAATTTACACAATTAAATGCGTGAAATTCGTTTGAATAATTGAGCAATTTTTCTGTGCATGGCGGGGGCCACAACAATTTGGGCATATAGCCTCAACAAGCTGTTTGTTTTAAAGATCCTGGCGAAATTTAATGAAAAATTCACGCACAAAAAAAGGGACAACTATTAACATATTATGACCCATCGCCAAATTAAGATATGGCATCTGTATCATCAGCTATATGGGCCTCTCATAACCATAAATCACAATTGAGTCCACTAAACGAAACCATTCAAAAAATGTTGTGTGTGGAAAAGGTCGCTAGGGACTAAATCCAAGCGTTGAAGACTGCCCGAATCCTGTGTGTCCTTAATGTGCTAGTATGGAGTTGCGTTAAGGTTCAGCTCGGAAAACTGAATGGATGGGCAAAAAAAAAAGGAGAAATTTTCGCAACTTTATTGCCAATGGCCGAGGCAAGGCAAAGCCACAGCTAATTTATTTGCAGGCTCGACCATCTATGCGACACAGCAGCGCAGAGAGCACAGAGAACGTCATCCTGGCAGGCACTTCATTGTGCAGTGGCTCGTTTAAAATGCTGATTCAGTTTCATCATTAACCAGATTAATATGGCTCGGCCCTACCACTGACAGGCGCAATATGGCAGACGGCAGCCCAATGCCGCATCTGCAGCCCGGTCTCAAATTGGTAATCGATGTCCATCCCGGGCATGTTCTAGTCATTGCCCATCTCCCGCATGTAGCTGTCCTTGCCAATGGCCATGTGGTCATCCTCATCGCCACCATTATCGTTGTCCTCATTGCAGACACTTCAAGTTTATCGCATTGCAGTTTGTCGAGCGTCACGCGGCGTATGCGAAATATTGGGCCAATGAATTTTTAT